TGAGGATGTGAAGATGAGAAGATGTGAAGATGTGAGGATGCGAGGAGAAGAAGATGTGAAGATGAACAGATGTGAAGATGAGAAGATGTGAGGATGTGAAGATGAAGATGAGAAGATGTGAGGATGTGAAGGTGTGAGGATGTGATGGTGAGCAGATGTGAAGATGAGAAGATGTGAAGATGTGAGGATGCGAAAATGTGAGGATGTGAGGATGAGAAGATGTGAAGATGAGAAGATGTGAGCATGTGAGGATGTGAAGATGAGAAGATGTTTCACAGACCCCCACTATTGGAAGAACCCTGCGCTCAGACGTTCCCGGGAATAAAATTTCCCACTGAAAAAACTGACAAAAACTCAAATAGACATGCTGGCGCATCATGTGTTGCCTGCTGCTGCTGCTGCTGCTGCTGCTGCTGCTGCTGCTGGTGTAGTTCTTGTTCTTGTTCTTGTTCTTGTTCTTGTTCTTGTTCTTGTTCTTGTTCTTGTTGTTGTTGTTGTTGTTGTTGTTGTCCTTATTGTCGTTGTTGTCGTTGTTGTGATCGTTGTTGATGTTCGAGTGGGCAACATCTTTTTCACTGGCGCCATCCCCCTTGCTGCCGGCCGGTGTCGGCGGATTCGCCACTCACTCTTTAGTTTTGTGCCTATGGATGTCTGTGAATGAATGCAATGCACGCATCCGGTCTGTTTGCCTGCTTGCCTGACTCTTGCCTTTATGCTTTCATTCGTTCTCCGCATGCTGCACTTTCATTGGCCAGGTTCGCGTCCGGGTGGATGACACGGAGACTCAGCTTGAGGCGGGATTTAGATTTGGTTGTGGCTGTGGTGGCTGCGACGATGCGTTCGCACTCCCTCTGCTTTCGTGGTCTTTTTCGTTTTTTTCCCTACATCACTGTGTGGGGTTCTTGTTTTTCGCTTGGATCCCGCCGGGGCTTCCTCCTCCGCCTCCTCCGCCTCCTCCGCCTCCCGCCTCCTCCGCCTCCGCCGCCTCCTCTTCATCTTCACTCATCACTCACTCACTCACTCACTCATTCACTCACTGTACAGATAGCTTCCTGGCTGCCTTTCGTGTGGCACGCGCAGTACACAGAGTCTCCAGGAGGAGCTGCGGCGCGCGTGGCCGCCGCTGGGGCCGCGGCTGCCTTTCGTGTAGCAGGCGCAGTATACACAGAGCCTCCTGGACGAGCTGCGGCGCGCGTGGCCGCCGCTGGGGCCGCGGCTGCCTTTCGCGTGGCAGGCGCAGTACACTTTCGTGTGGCAGGCGCAGTACACAGAGCCTCCTCGACGAGCTGCGGCGCGCGTGGCCGCGGGGCCGCGGCTGCCTTTCAAGCAGGCGCAGTACACAGAGCCTCCTGCATGGACGAGCTGCGGCGGGCGTGGCCGCCGCTGGGGCCGCGGCTTCCTTTCGCGTGGCAGGCGCAGTACATAGCGCTTCCTGGACGAGCTGCGGCGCGCGTGGCCGCTGCTGGGGCCGCGGCTGCTTTCGCGTGGCAAGCGCAGTGCACCGTGCTCGCTTAGAGGCTCCTGGAGGAGCTGCTTCACCACTCTTCACATCTCACTTATCACATCCCACTCATCATTCACCACTCTTCACTACACCACTGGCCGCGGCTGGCTGAGTACACAGAGCCTCCTGGACGAGTTGCGGCGTGCGTGGCCGCCGCTGGGGCCGCAGCTGCCTTTCGCGTGGCAGGCGCAGTATACACAGAGCGTCCTGGAGGAGCTGCGGCGCGCGTGGCCGCCGCTGGGGCCGCGGCTGCCTTTCGCGTGGCAGGCGCAGCACAGAGCCTCCTGGACGAGCTGCGGCGCGCGTGGCCGCCGCTGGGGCCGCGGCTGCTTTCGCGTGGCAGGCGCCACTTATCATTCACCCCTCATCACGCACCACTTATCACATCTCACTCATCACTTCTCACTTACCATTCTCACAGCTCACTCACCACTTATCACATGTCACTCATCATTCACCACTCATCACTACACCACATCTCACTCCCCACTTATCACTGTCTCATCACACCTTATCACATCCCAACTCATCACAGCTCCACTTCTCACACCTCACTCATCACAGCTCCACTGCTCATCACAACTCATCACAGCTCCACTTCTCAAACTTCCACTTCTCATCACTTCTCACAGGTCCACTTCTCATCACAACTCATCACCACTCATCACAGCTCCACTCATCATCACAAGCCATCACAGCTTCACTTCTCACACCTCACTTATCACATCACAACTTCTCATCACAACTCATCACAACTTATCACATCCCAACTCATCACAGCTCCACTTCTCACACCACTTCTCACACCTCACTTATCACATCACAACTCATCACAGCTCCACTTCTCACACCTCACTTCTCACACCTCACTTCTCAAACACTCACTCATCACAGCTCCACTTCTCACACCTCACTTCTCACACCTCACTTATCACATCACAACCCATCACAGCTCCACTTCTCACACCATCTTTCACACACCTTCTTTGACACACCATCTTTTACACACCATCTTTCACACACACACACAACTTTGTCACCCACCATCTTTGACACACCATCTTTCACACACCATCTTAGTCACACACAATCTTTCACACACAACTTTGTCACACACCATGTTTCACACACCATCTTTCACACACAGCTTTGTCACACACCATCTTTCGCACACCATCTTTCACACACATCATCTTTCACACGCAACTTTGTCACACACCATCTTTCCTCCACCTCCTCCTTTGTCTTTCCTTCCTTCCCCGTCCCCGCTACAACATTTCTGGCTCATTATTGGAAGAAGTTGACTTGTGGGGTTATCCGGTCCTTTTATTGCCTCCTTTGAAACAAGAACAAGAACTGTCATCCGTGGTCAAATGCCAGGCATCAGAGGACGGAGGCAACACATGGGCTGATTTGACCCAGATAATGACAGGAGCAGGGAACTTAGATTCCTTATATTCAGTCCACAGCTTTCAGCTGGATGCGCAGTGGTTTGGTTTCTCTGAAACGGCATCATATAGCTCAAAACAAGGATCGGATTCACGGGTTCTCAAAAGCACCCATCCTTCTGTGGCATACAGTCGGCTCTTTTTTTTTCTTCATTCTTTGATGGCAAAGAGTCGCAGCTGTCCAAGGATGAAACTTTCCCGTTTCATATTTATGCTAGGAACTCTGCACAAGAATCTGAAAGAGGAACATGACTCCAAGCACGCCTGCAAATCATTTTTTTCCGCGCCTGCAAACCAGGGCTTGGGTAGATACAAAAAAAAAAATATATATATATATATGTATATATATGGTCCCGTCCTCTGTCTCTGCACCCCCCCCGGGAGGGGGGGGTGGCAGGGCCTGGTGCATATATACAGTTACAAATATACGGTCAGTACCAACATGATGAATCTTACACAAAAAGATCAAAAAAGTGTTACGAGTTTCTCGAACTAGAGAAGGAATCTAGATCCAAAAGACACCAGCAAAACATGACCATACATTACCCAAACATCACTGTGAAACCAGTGAAGCAGTGCCAAGAAAGAGAGGGAACATGCCCTATATATCCCTATATAGATTCTGGATTCTAGATGTAAATTGCACTTCGGCATGTCGGCTGCCAAGAGGATGCAGAAGAAATTGCAGAAAATCTTCAACCATCACACGAAAAGTACAATTTCCCTGGAAAATGCAAAGTCGCTTTGGCTGTCTTTCATGTTTTGTTTCGGATGAGATTTGCACTTGTTTACTTTATCACACGCGACGCAAGCTGCCTTTTCCTTATGTAGGCTCCGCCGGTAAGGACAGGAAAAGCGCTGGAGATGTCATGGGCCACAAGTGTGCAAGATTGTTTGATATTGTGTATTGTGTCTGCGCACGCAGATGTAACACACCATTGAAATATCGACCCATATGAGACCTCACATGCCATGCCAACACCACCAAGACACCCACTAGCAAGAGACCACCGATACACCACCAAAAGTACCGTTCAAATGCCACCGCAACACCAGCAAATTACCTCGCAAACACAACATTACGCACCTGCGCAATAGAGACTGATACACCGCGGGGTTTGCACCAATACATCACCGACACTCCACCAAGACACCACCAAATCACCACTGGCACACCACCAATACACCACCAAGACATAGTTGACACGCGGAAGCGACATCATCCTTAACCAACAAACAACAAACCCACATCCAACAACAGCATGATAAAACGGCGACAGGCCACAAAGGCAGTGTCCACACATGACGGCTCTACATCGGCCCAACATGGGCTCAGGAGGGCGTAGCAGTACGTAAAATCAACCCAACATGGCTCGAATTTTGCAACATGAGCTTGAGATAGGGCCAACATAGCCTAAGTGCAGCTTGCTCAAAAGAAAGAAAAAACGGTGAAAAACATATAGTTAAACGTACAATCAAAAACATCAGCCACACAGCCGAAAAATGACATTTTTCTGGGTATTTACGGTGTTTTTTTGCAAGCGCCTTGCACGGACCAAAACTCAACGATGCTGAAATGCCCAAGTCCCAGGGCATTTTCCAAACCACTGCCCTGAGGCCAAATCTGCAGTTGGGTATGCATGAGTTGCACGAGTTGTGCCTGTACAATAGGAGCCTCGGGCTTGGCCAATGCGTATCCGACTCATCGAAAAATCATGTGCAATCGCTGGCGCATCTGGAACGGGAGAATTTGTAGAGGGAAGAGAGTCTAACTAGTTTTGACCAGTGACTGCGTTGATGTGATGACAAATGAGTGCGGGACAAACTGGATTAATGACAAGCTGTTCTAGATCCTTTTCAACTTTCGGAGCTGAATGTTTGCATTGCCCGATGGAAGTTGAGCGGTTCACTGCAGATGTTCACTCAAATTGGGCGCCTGAGTGCGGAACGCATTACTACATCTATCTCCAGGAATTTGCAGGTATCACACACACACACACACGCATATTTTTCCAGTTAGACGAGATTCAAGATGAAGTCTGTGATGGCAGTTTTTCCTTGCGCGATCATGAACCGTATGTGGAAGCTGCCAATACGAAGATCAGTCAGCACCGAAAGGCTGGCGGGGAATCTTTCAAGCTCAACTATTTCCATGACCGACGTTGGGTGCAAATCAATGGAAGGATGAACGGTTGCACCACAAAGGACTTGTTCATCTTATGGTTCATAAGTTTGCTAATTTGAAGAACGTAATAATTTCTGTGAAGGAGACTTCCTGTTTTTATGGAGAGGGGGACAGAGTGCTACCAACTGGAAGTCAAGCCGGTAGCAAACAGGCGAAGCGCTAAGGAATGAGGAACGGATTGGCACACCAACTTATCCCAATAAGCAAAAGCTGAAGGACCATGTAGGACCTCAGGGGGGTGACAGAGGATTCTAGTTCTTCTTTTCCTGTTTTTCCCTTCTTTGTCGTGTTTCTATCTTTTCAAGTCTTGTCAACTATTCGTCTCTTTCTCTGATTCTCTGGTCAAGTGCTGCAACATGGGCGTAGCCCTGGTACTCCAGGCAAGGCTGTGCTGTAAATGAAGTGATAGCCGGTTCAAGTGGCATTTATCTGTAATGATTCTAAAGCTTCTAACCAATCTTCAGGGTTCACCAATCCTCGAAACGAGATCGATCTAAAGCATGAAGACATTTGGAGGTATTAATGTTTGACCCAGTGCGTTCCCGAGTGTCTTCTCAGAAACCAACGTGCCAGAGGTGTGAAGCAGAATTGAGATGCCCAAATGTTTTGTTGGTGGAATCTTAGATAATTATCATGCTTCTTGTGTCACACTGAACAAGAGTGAGTGCCAACTTTAGACTTTATGATTCCATCACTCCTCTCGTTTCTGAATGTGTCGAACTTCTGTGGTTTTAGTCTGCCCAACCTACTTATCAGTATCCGAAATTACCAGTAGCCAGAGCTGTTGTTTTCGACATATTTCTCTCATTGCCCAACCTGCTGGTGTATGCGTTTCTGCTTGCGAGCTTCGATCAAGATAATTCCCCAATGAGTTGGCAAACTTTTCGACTTAAACTTCAACGATGCAGAGGCAGAGGTGCTTTGTGCCGAGGTGTCAAAAGTACCATATCGATTGTGTAAGAATGCACAGGGCAGGTTTGTGCTCACGAACACGCTGCGCAACGATGCGTTCAGATTCTTCTCAAGAACAAGAGGTGGACTTCCAACAAGTCTCCTGCAGGCAGCAGGTAAGCAGTAAATAAATTGCATGTAATTAATGCAAATTAGGTGGAACAAAAAGACAAGAATCACCATGCCAAGGATTAGAGGCAATTTCCCAATGTTTGCAAGGATGGATTTCTGTTTTGCCGAGGGACCCCTGGACCTCCGAATGAACGCTATAGGCTGTACATTTGTGGAGGTGTTGAATGAGCGCACCCACGCAGATGTTGTTATGCAGATTGAAACGGGTCGTCAGCATCGCTCTTGTTCGGGGCAAGAGGAAAAACACTGCAGCCTGTGAGCAGGTCTTCCGTGAACAATCGGACCACAGCTCACAATTCGCCGTGGTAAAATATGTAGTTTTTACCATTTTTTGGTTTCTGATGGGGTTGGGTTGGGCTAATAACGTCCTTCTCTTTCATCCCCACAGACGCATCATCTTACGCTCGTATCTACGTCATGTTGCGCATGTCTCTCTCCAGTTGCTACACCTACGTCATGCTTTGTAACGTCCTCTTCTTGTACCGTCTTTTTGAAGTTGCTTCTACGTTGTAACACCTTCTTGAAGTGTAACGTCCTCTTGAAGTTGCTTCTATGTTGCAACCTCTTCTTGAAGTTGCTTCTACGTTGTAACCTCTTCTTGAAGTTGCTTCTATGTTGTGTAGCATCTTCTTGAAGTGTAACGTCACGTCCTCTTGAAGTTGCGAGAAAACCTGGGAAATTTGAATGCCGTCACTTTGTTGCGGCCACTTGACCAAAATTTGGTGATGATGACTAGTTGACTCGCATTTTGAAAAAGAAAAAGGGTAAATCTTCAGACATCGACCACAGATGGAATTGCGTTGGTTTGATTGCAACATCGACATCATCAGAATGTCACTTTGACTCATGGCGAAATATGAGCCGTGAACCGAACAGTTTGAGCATGACAAGAACATAAAAGGAACAAAGGCAATCACCCAATGGGACCAGTGAAAAACCCGCAGGCCTTTAGCATTGGGCAGTTTGTCTTTGAAATTGCTTCGCGAAGCGGTGCCCAGAGTTGTGGATTTGTAACGCGGCATTTCTTCAAGTCACTTTGTTATGCAGGTGCCTTTGGCTGGCTTGGCTGCGCTCTTGACATAATCCACAATGTCCATAGCAAGTTCGCCGAGCCGCTCTCCAAGTTTTCCCGACGCATGATTTTTGTGGCCTTTTGCGGCAACATGTGGCAACAGTGGCTTGAACATGTTTGAAGATTTTGAGCATGTCCGGACAATCTTGGACATGGTTTGAGGATGTTGTATAGTATAGCCCTTCAGCATGTGAACATATTTGTGCTTGATTCCAGGTCAGAGCCCTGTTCGGCAGCGTTGCGCCAGGCCTGGTGCCCGGGAGTTGTGTGGCTCCACTAGGAATCGCTTGGGCATCACAAAGTTGTAGCAAAGAGGGCCTCAGAGGAGCATTGAAATCCATTGCTTTTGAGAAATCTAAACCTTGTAGAGGAACATTCCTTGTATATAAAGCACTGGTGACATGTGCGTCGCAAGGTGTGGACTATCGCTGGAAAATGCATCTTTACTGTTGGTTTTGGGCCTAGTGAACGGCTTGTTCCAGCTACAGCTTGTTGAGCCTAAGCTTGGCTATGCAAGATTTCCCACTTTTGTAACGATTCAGGCGTGTGCATATCAGCAACCGCTCTTCCCCAGGTTTGCGAACACAATCTTTGTTTACACTGTGCTGCGCAACTGCTGGAGAAAGGCAGCGGCTTGAGTGGCAGGTCGACCTTCCAGTAGATTCTGATTCTGATCATTCCCTGCTTTGTGTCAGCTGCGGAAGTCAGTACGATTCACGGTGTGCAGCTGCGATTTGAAGCTTGAAGCTTGAAATTTCGTCCAGGTCCACCCAGCGCGGCACGGCGACAGCATGTGGTTGCCTGTAAGGCCCCATTCAAGCCATATTTGCTTTCCTGTTCATCCCGTGCAGTCCTGCGAGTGAATCTGTGTAAGTGAGTATGTGGAGTGGATGTTTTGTGAACATCGGTGAATTCAAGTTCGGTGCGTCAATTTACCAGTTGCAGTATCAGTATTGTATTTGGATGTATTTGGCATTTCATTGGAGCCAAGCAATGCTCTTCAGCCTAGAAGCTTTATAGGCACGAAGCACTAGCAGATGCTGTGACATCCAATAGCATGGAGTCATTGAGACGTGTTGGCTTGGAGGTTTGCCACGCAGTGACTGAGGCAGGCCGCAAGTTGCAAGTGCAGGACTGAAAGAAATTGCAAAGCATAGATGGGCTGGAAAGCACAACACGGATCTTAGAATAGGGGAAGCTTTAGGCTTTGGCTAAGATTTTCTCAGCTCCCTCATTTGTGGTCAAAATATGTCTGACAGGGGCGTTGCCCTCTTCAGAAACCAGATGTGCATCGAAAGATACACTTTCAGAAAATGAAAGCTACGATTAGCAAGCCAATGCGGAGGCTCTATGTGGAATGATACAGAACCTATACGATTCATAAACTTGATTGAACGATAGGGCACAATTTAGACACCGTGCGCTTCAGAGACGACGCAAGTCAGAACCCGAATGGTTCTGACACCAAGTGCATCCAAGTGCTAAAATCCAGTCACATGCAAGACTATAGGTAGAGGCTGAGCAGTGCGACTCAACGATGCCAGCGATCCAAAATTTGCGATCTAAAGCATTTGCGATGTAACATTTTAGCCAAGACTTGGCTACCTTTTCCATTTACAATACTTTACAATCCTTGTGAACAGCTGCCCCCATCCTGCAACAAGGTCTGCCTTTTTTTGTGCTCTATGTGCGCCCGCATGTAGCCCGCCAAACAATGCAGGACGATATGCTGAATATTTCGTCTATGTATATCTTCCCCCCCGAGCTACCTTCTGATACATTCGGTCTGGTATTCATATTTAGTTTTCTGCCTGTGTGTCTACCTTGCGCTATCGTCTATTTAGTGTCCTTCCTTAGAAGCTCAACAATGTCTTGCTGTTCTTCTTGATTTGAACTTTCGGCGCTGTAGCCGGCCATCACTATGTTGATTTCCTCCACGCTCCGTCCCTCGGCTTAAAGCTTGGCAGGGATAGGGAATCACTTCCAGCATTACAACGGCTTATGGCGTCAGCAAACTATCCGACAGAGTTTAGAGGCTATGTTTTCTACGCCGCAGCACGAAGGCAATTGGTTGAGAGATCGAAACGTTCAGTTTCCACCTCCCATAGCTTCGTTTTTGCTTTGTGCAGAGTCTCCAAATCGAGCTCTTGAGTTTCCAAATCATGGTGTCATGCATGGAATGAAACAAAAGGCATTTTGTCAGGTGGACTATCCTGCAGCGTCATACCTTGAGAACCTTCTATCGCCAAGTACAACAAGGTTGGAAGCACATGAGGGCAGTGCTGAGGGGCTTTTCTTCAGTGCGTAGCGAAAGGTTCTGGTGTTGGCTCGACGTTGCTTTGCCGTTGGCACCCGTTGGAACTGATGGCAACCGCTGCCAGCCGGTGGCAACTGTCCGCACTCGTCCACAACCGCCAGCAACCGTCCGCAATGAAGGTGATATGGCGCCTATAGCAACAGCTCCAAAAGCTGTCGCTATTTTTTGGGGATGTCTTGACAGGCTTGAAGTGTCGGTTTTGTACGGCAGGCAAAACACTTCGTGGCATTCCGGCGTGTTCGATGAAGTGTGGAAAGTCGCTCTGTCTGACAGGCACAATACTTCTTAAGGGTTTCGCAACATGGCTTTCAAGCACTTTGTCAGTTTTTCATGGGCGTGTTGCGCATGTTTTTGCGATTCGCATTGGAACTGCTGCGTCAAGTAGCGGCAC